GATACGTCCAGCAAGTATCGCCAAACGTTTTGCCCAGAGAGCAAAACGTACCCAGCACACAGTGACACCTGCTAGCTACCGCCACCGTAAACCGGCAAACTGCTTGTCCTTTGCCTGCCTGTCGCTGATTGGCTGGTGTCCCGTCGCACCTGCCCTCCACCTATATATATATATATATATATATATATATATATATATGTTGTGACGGTAAAGCGTTGGTGTTCGGCTGTTTCAAAAGCTAGGGGCAGGGCCTCGTCACATTAAAGAAAAAAAAGAGAAAAAGCTGGAACTTTCGTCTGTGGTAAGGTAATGGGAAGACACACAAAACACAAGTAAATTTAACAATGAAATTTTAATTACGTTAGAAAAACAAGACATGAATAAAATTAAGTATAAAATATACAGGACAAGTCAACAAACAAAATAAGAATAATCACTGGCAAATGAAAAGTTACGTTAAGACAAGAAAGTTATAGCAAAATAAATAATAATAATGCTGGAATATTGGCTTCGAGCTGCCACCTCCCTTAGTACACGAAAGCCAAGGCTTAGTCTACTAGCGAGAGATGTCAACTGCAAGGAGCACTGGGATATTCTGACTATTCTGGGCCACTGCATCCCAGACATCAACTTGTGGCAGAGGGCGGAGGGCAGGTGCGACGGGACACCAGCCAATCAGCGACAGGCAGGCAATGGACAAGCAGTTTGCCGGTTTACGGTGGCGGTGGGTAGCAGGTGTGCCGGTGTGCTGGATACGTTTTGCTCTCTGGGCAAAACGTTTTGAAGATACTTGCTGGCCGTATCTTCTATATTATCTGTTGTTGTTACATACTTTGAAGGGAAGAGCAGGCTCAATCTCTCTTGAAAGAGATTATCGTCACAATATATATATATATATATATATATATATATATATATATATATATATATATATATATATATATATATATATATATATATATATATATATAATATATGCGAACAAGCTTGAATGGTCCCCAAGCATACATGCGAATGAAAACTCCACATCCCAGAAGTGACTTGAACCCAGACAGCCAGGAGCACAATGCAACTGGTGTACACGGTACCTTAACCGCTCGACCGTCAGTTACCATACAAAAGACGATGGTAGCCGAGGCTACCACGTGTATATACAAAGTATATAAGCAGACCGTAGACCACCGAGTCCATCCCGACGGGGGGAAGGGGGGGGGAAGGCACCGGCAGGGCGCATTCCATCGCACATGCGTGTGGTGGAGAGGACATCGGAGTCAGAGGATATCAGAGAGGACCTCTGAGGACATCAGACTCATGAATTGAGATACCGAGACCGAGGAATCCAGCCAGACAGGGGAGACATCTCCCGCCAACACATCACAAGGAGCAGTGTGGTCACAATGCGACCCAAACTTCTTAAGGTCAGAGCGACTCCACTTGACGGTCAGGCTCATCGGGAGAAGCAATACTTTGAAGGTCCTGAAGGACGTAACTGGCCTCGAACCCGCTGACATTAGTCAGGAAGGTGAAGATATCGTGCTCTTCTTTTCATGTGAAGAGGAGCTAGAAAAACTCCTCACTAACGATGCCATTCTTCGCAAAGAACACCACCTACATCCTCACTTCCCACGTTAGTTCCTGGCCAGAAGAACTGTTTTTACCAGCAGGACCAGCCAGTGGATCGCTGACCGACTTCAACATCATATCATGGACAATATCGAGGACGAAAATCCAAACCTGTCGGTATTCAACCTAGAGTTCTGCAACACCGACAAAACATCAAGGAAGATTACGTTCACCACCATAGCTGCGGCCACCCAGGCTACCACACAAGGATTCTACTGCTTCGGCCTAAAAATACCACCCCACCAAATAAGAAAGGAACGATACCATGAGATCCAGCAGTGCTTTAAGTGCTACGAGCTCTCCCACCCGACCAATAAGTGTCAGGACCCTGTCCAGAGGTGTAGCTTGTGCGCACTGGACCATCACTACTCCATATGCAAGGCAACAGTCCATCACTGCTTGCTCTGTGATGGCAATCACCCCGCAATTTCCTACCGCTGCCCCCGCAGACAGGAAAGCATCAAGGCCCAGGTTGAAGCCAAGAGAAACAACCCTTCTACCTCCTCGACCAGAGCCCCAAGCGTTCAACATACCACCTTAGCTCTCACTAATCGACCAGAAGACTTTCCAGTCTTACCAACATGTGGCTCCTCCCAGCAGGCGACACAGCCTTCTCATTGGGTCCCACAGGCTCCTTCACTTCACTCCTTCGCTTCATAACTGATGCCCTGCATCACGTGCTGGCATTATCCCTGGTCTTATTAGATTAGCGGAAAGGCTTGCAGGACCAGACAACCAGCGCTTTGTCAGTGAACTAAACGCATTATACATAGACAATGGCCTGGCCCCCATCATAGCCACTAGCGTAAATCTCACTGCCTCCTCTACCACTCCGGAGACTACCACCAGGACGACCAGGTGGTCAACTTCAACACCGACTCCAGAACCGCCCATGACCCGGGCGACACAAACAGAGGTAATTCCTTCACCAGCTCCCAACACTCCTACCATCACTATCTCAGCAGCCGCGCTAGCAGACTTGTTGTCTACAAACGATAACAGCACCACCAGCGCTCCTGAAATAGCTACAACCACCAATTAACGTCACCTAAAGCTACCTAAGTCTGCGAGGCGAAAGACAAAAACGCCCACAACGGAGGTTACGGACTCCTCAGACGAGGAAATCATAGTATGAGCTCCACCGCCGCATCACAAATACGACACCTACACGGTTCAAGACATCCTCATGTAGGCCACGTCGCCTAACTCCAACGACAGCACTGCTCAGCCAAAGACGCCGACAAAGAAAAAACGGAAAACCTAGAGGTCTACACTAATCCCACCAACTCCATAACTGGTATAGCCAGCCCTCCAGGCTAAAAACCATCATGAAGACCCCCATCCATCGCCAGATCTCTAGTATCGGCCACTGATACAGATAATGGCTCCAAAGAGCCTCCACTTACGGGCTCACCATACCCCGTGCTACTGGAACTTATTGTTCTGAGTAGCTGAATCTAAAACAACAACAACAACAACCGAGGAGTCCAACTCAACATGCGTCCATCGACACGGGCGCGCATGTTGTTTTTCACGCCCCGGCACGCTGCATCCCCGCGTAGCCGTGGGTCGCACTCTCTTCCTTGTCCCAGAGGGCAGGGGTGTCCCCGCCTTGACGATTCTGTGGAAATGGGGGCGTTAGCATAAGGAAACTCAGGCATGGTGGCAAAATAAATTCTTCATCCAACAATGTACTTTCACATTAAATTGAATTAAGGGTGGTAATTAGAAATCTTTGGTAAAATCGATGCATGAAGTCCGTAGACCGCTGGGTCCATCCCGACGGGGGGGATGGGGGGCACCAGCAGGCAGGGATGCACTCCACCACACAAGCGTGTGGTGGAGTGGACATCTGAATCGAAAATGAGGTACCCAGACCCTTGAGCCCAACTCAACCGGCCGGCCGGTTGAGCCAAAGCTCTTTGGTCCTGCCTCTCAGCTGTCAATCAACTGGTGTACAGATTCCTGAGCCTACTGGACTCTATCATATCTACATTTGAAACTGTGTATGGAGTCAGCCTCCACCACGTCACTTCCTAGTGCATTCCATTTACTAACTACTCTGGCACTGAAAAAGTTCTTTCTAATGTCTCTGTGGCTCATTTGGGAACTCCGCTTTCACCTGTGTCCCCTTGTGAGTGTACCACTCGTGTTATATAATCCATCTTTGTCCACCTTGTCAATTCGCCTGAGAATTTTGTATGTGGTGCTCATGTCTCCTCGAACTCTTCTGTCTTCCAGCGACGTGAGGTGCAGTTCACGTAGCCTTTCCTCATAACTCATGCCTCTTAGTTCTGGGACTAGCCTAGTGGCATACCTCTAACCTTTTTCCAGCTTCGTCTTGTGCTTGACAAGGTACAGGCTCCATGCTGGGGCTGCATACTCCAGGATTGGCCTTACATATGTGGTATACAAGGTTCTGAAGGATTCCTTACACAGGTTTCTGAAAATAGTTGTGATGTTAGCCAGCCTTGCATAGGCCGCTGATGTTATTCTTTTCATGTGAGCTTCAGGAGACAGGTTTGGCGTGATATCAACTCCTAGATCTTTCTCTGTCCGTTTCGTGAAGGACTTCATCTCCCATTCGGTATCCAGTGTCTAGCCTCCTAGTTTCAGTACCTTACATTTACTTGGGTTGAACTTTAGTAGCCATTTGTTGGACCATTCCTTCAGTTTGTCTAGAAAGGAGGCCTGGTCGAGGACCGGGCCACTGGGACGCTAAGCCCCGAAATCTTCTCAACATAACCTCAAGAAGATAGTCAATCCTCCCCGGCCAGGATACGAACCCAGGCCATATCGCATGTGAAAAGCGGGGTGTGTTGTTCCCTGGGGTTCACCATATCATAGTAGCTAAAAAAAAAAAAGTTTTCTTTGCGTGGGTTCTCGATTAGGTTAGATTCGGGCAATTTAGTATAAAATTTTTGTAACGTGACAACTGGAGGATTGGCTTCTTCAAAATTTTTGTATTCTTCCACTGTTCAATCCTACATTCAACACAAAGACCGGCTCCAGAAATTTCCAAATGAGGAACTTGGCATATGACATATGATGCCGGGTAAAGGTTTCTTCTGCAGCATGTTATCAGATTATGTGACTGAACATGTAATACAAAGAGTGGCTTATGTTCCCCAAACATATTATAGTAGCCAGTGAACTCTCAGTTGTTCCTCCATTTTCGCCTTCCGGATCAATATAATTTTGAATGAACGTTCATTCACCTTCAATTATGGAGCAATTTCTTTTCCGATCTGTGTAACGCAGACATTTTAGCATTATATATAACTTGAATATCTTGAAACTGTTTTACTTGACTTATTCATTATCGTAATTGTATAGTATTGAAGGTAAGAGAGGAGAAAATAGTAATGTAGCGGAATGAGCGAGCGGGCGGCCGGGGTTGGCAACACCGGCGGCGACGCGAGCGGGAGCGGGGAAGAAAATGGCCGAAGTGTCCATGTGATGGAGTCCAGCGTCTAGTCCTAGAAGGTTAGTTTTTAGCCATTTCTAGGTCTCCCGCGCGACTCTTTTGTTGTCAGGTATTGTAAGACTTGTCTTGTAGCTGTCGCGATGCTGTTAATGATGCGGGGAACTTGTAACGTAGAGAGAGAGAAGCGTGTTATGATGGTAGATGCTTGGGGGTGGAGGCTGAGGTGGACCGCCCCCGACACGGGCCGCCTCACGCCCGCCTGACACTCCCTCACTCTCCTACTCTAGACGCTTATACTACTCAATTAGTCTTTATGGAGCATATTTCTTGATATATTGTAGTGGTTATAATGATTGTTGTAGTGTAGTTATGATTGTGTTGTGGTGGACGTAAGAGCCAGGCGGACTTCCCTCGGGGTCCTCTCATCACTGACGTTGCTCACATTTACCGGGATAACCACTATTTTGATAATGATTTTCGAAATAGGAAATGTTTTTCCGGTACGCTGTTCAGTTGGTTGATAATATTTGATGGTAAACTATTGATGGCGGAAGGAGGAATCTTTGTTTAATAGGAATGTTGGTTGAATAGATGCTACATAATAAATCTTTAGGGGCGAGTTTACAGTGCATTCAAAATCAATTGTACTGTATTTTATCTTAGTCTTAGAATTATGCGGGCATTGTTATAGATTGATTTGTAGGGAAGTTGGACTAATTTAATTTTAGCACTTTACAAATATTTAACTTTCAAATATTTCAGGACTAAAGTGCTCTAAATAGCAGCACTCAAGTGTGAAACCAGGTGCTTGAACAGCAATTGGGTTATATATAAATATATAAATACAAAGCACAACTGGTATGGGCTACAGTAACTTGGTGCACAGGTATTTGCATAAACGTAGGTTTGCCTATGAAGTCTTGTTTAAATGCATTATTTTGTATGTTGTAATCATTTAGTGTAACTTCAATGTGCTTCAAAAATCCTTATGCAAACTACCTGCTGTCTAAGTGACATTTTGTTAACATGTTATTGTATTATCTTGTATTATATTCTCCAAACAGTTCACAATGCCGTGAGTCTGCATGATGTACCGTATAATCTCGCTTATCCGAATTATATGGAAATGCTAAAGCCTCACTGGTTGAAGGTCCTGGGCTGGCTTGTGAGGCTTCACTGGTTGAAGGTCCTGGGCTGGCTTGTGAGGCTTCACTGGTTGAAGGTCCTGGGCTGGCTTGTGAGGCTTCACTGGTTGAAGGTCCTGGGCTGGCTTGTGAGGCCTCACTGGTTGAAGGTCCTTTACTTGCTTGTGAGGCTTCACTGGTTGAAGGTCCTGGGCTGGCTTGTGAGGCTTCACTGGTTGAAGGTCCTGGGCTGGCTTGTGAGGCCTCACTGGTTGAAGGTCCTTTACTTGCTTGTGAGGCTTCACTGGTTGAAGGTCCTGGGCTGGCTTGTGAGGCTTCACTGGTTGAAGGTCCTGGGCTGGCTTGTGAGGCTTCACTGGTTGAAGGTCCTGGGCTTGCTTGTGAGCCATCACTGGTTGAAGGTCCTCATCTTGCTTGTGAGCCATCACTGGTTGAAGGTCCTGGGCTTGCTTGTGAGCCATCACTGGTTGAAGGTCCTGGGCTTGCTTGTGAGCCATCACTGGTTGAAGGTCCTGGGCTTGCTTGTGAGCCATCACTGGTTGAAGGTCCTGGGCTGGCTTCACTGGTTGAAGGTCCTGGGCTGGCTTCACTGGTTGAAGGTCCTGGGCTGGCTTGTGAGGCTTCACTGGTTGAAGGTCCTGGGCTGGCTTCACTGGTTGAAGGTCCTGGGCTGGCTTCACTGGTTGAAGGTCCTGGGCTGGCTTCACTGGTTGAAGGTCCTGGGCTGGCTTCACTGGTTGAAGGTCCTGGGCTGGCTTCACTGGTTGAAGGTCCTGGGCTGGCTTGTGAGGCTTCACTGGTTGAAGGTCCTGGGCTGGCTTGTGAGGCTTCACTGGTTGAAGGTCCTGGGCTGGCTTGTGAGGCTTCACTGGTTGAAGGTCCTGGGCTGGCTTGTGAGGCTTCACTGGTTGAAGGTCCTGGGCTGGCTTGTGAGGCTTCACTGGTTGAAGGTCCTGGGCTGGCTTGTGAGGCCTCACTGGTTGAAGGTCCTGGGCTGGCTTGTGAGGCTTCACTGGTTGAAGGCCCTGGGCTGGTGTGAGGCTTTACTGGTTGAAGGTCCTGGGCTGGCTTGTGAGGCTTCACTGGTTGAAGGTCCTGGGCTGGCTTGTGAGGCTTCACTGGTTGAAGGTCCTGGGCTGGCTTGTGAGGCTTCACTGGTTGAAGGTCCCGGGCTGGTGTGAGGCTTCACTGGTTGAAGGTCCTGGGCTGGCTTGTGAGGCTTCACTGGTTGAAGGTCCTGGGCTGGCTTGTGAGGCTTCACTGGTTGAAGGTCCTGGGCTGGCTTGTGAGGCTTCACTGGTTGAAGGTCCCGGGCTGGTGTGAGGCTTCACTGGTTGAAGGTCCTGGGCTGGCTTGTGAGGCCTCACTGGTTGAAGGTCCTGCGCTGGCTTGTGAGGCCTCACTGGTTGAAGGTCCTGGGCTGGCTTGTGAGGCCTCACTGGTTGAAGGTCCCGGGCTGGTGTGAGGCTTCACTGGTTGAAGGCCCTGGGCTGGTGTGAGGCTTCACTGGTTGAAGGTCCTGGGCTGGCTTGTGAGGCTTCACTGGTTGAAGGCCCTGGGCTGGTGTGAGGCTTCACTGGTTGAAGGCCCTAGGCTGGTGTGAGGCTTCACTGGTTGAAGGTCCCGGGCTGGTGTGAGGCTTCACTGGTTGAAGGCCCTGGGCTGGTGTGAGGCTTCACTGGTTGAAGGTCCTGGGCTGGTGTGAGGCTTCACTGGTTGAAGGTCCTGGGCTGGCTTAATCCTTATAATTTGTGTGTTGCATTCTTATTACTGCCAGATTGAGAGACTGATCTCTTTGGCATAGGGAATGTGCTCTGCTAATCAGTTTGAAGATGAGGTCCAATAGCAGACAATTTTTTTTTTTACTTAGTGTTTTTTTCTGAATAATATTTGTGTATGCAATTCTTTAGGTCAGATTAGTCTACCATTTCATATCAAACATGTTTTTGTTTATTTTCAGGGCTAATTCACTCATAAGATGAAGTTAGGCTGGTTGAAGAGGCAGCTGATTAGTGATTTTTTTTTCTTTCCTGCCAAAAATTATATACTGTAGTTATACTGGCCTAGTGTGCTGTCCTCAATTACCTCTGCAAAAGGAAATATAATTTTATCTTAACAGTGGTATCTAATTCAGTGGTTAACAAAACAGTGATTCTTAGAATTACATAAACCCTACTGTATTAATAGGATGCTAAATACTGTATATAAACTCTGATTTCAACACCCAGAACAGTTCAACACAAATTAAACAATCTTAGATTCAGAAAACACCTTGGTAAATGAGAAAATCTTTGGAGTAGAGTGCCTCCAAAATTTCTTGAGTTGGGGCCAACTCTGGTTTGTTACTTTTACACATCTTACACCTGGAGTAATCCAGGACTCTGGCACAATTCCACTGCCTTGTTTCAAAGATCTTCTTTTAGATACATCATGTTATTGAGATTTCATTGTATACACTGAGGTGGTATACATTGGTATACATTGTGTATACTGATTTGTAAGTGGGGTTGTTGATATACTGTATAGAAGAAATTACTGGGTAATGTATTACTGTAGGTACAGGCTTGGTGGATTGTTCCAAACAAGTTAGGTATGTATATGAGTGAGTGAGTGGGTATAATTATGAGCTGCCTTCCTTAGGCCAATAGATCTAGAGCCTCATATAATTTTGTCATTATAGCTGAGGTTTTGTTGATTTGTCATCGTGTCTTTGTTATATTTGAATGGTTTGTTTTTAGAAAGCCAGGAATTGATCTTATATATGTTATGTTTTGTGTTTTCTCGTATGGGCAAATAGGCCTTCTGCAGTTACCTTTATTCTTTAGTCACATATGATGGATTCATAAAATCTAAAGTAAGGGTACTGTTCTGCCTAAGGATAGAATAGCAGCAGGATGGGATGGTTTGTAAATTTGTGTTTACTTCATTATCTTTAGCAATTGATGTATTTTGTTGAAATTGTGCTTTGTTTCAGCATTTTATTTTTTCAGGTTAACATGGAGGAGCTACTTTCCTTAAAGTGGAACAATCATCGTTCCACGTTTCTTCACATTTTGGGTGTGCTCAGGGACAAGGTAAGATGTCTTCAATTTTCTGTTGTATGTATGTATATATGTATGGTATTGTGTTTACAGGTCTACCAAAGTTGCTTTATTAAAAATGTGTTCTACTATGACCTTTTATTTTCATATTTGTTATAAGTATCTTCAATAGGAATTTTTAATGGTGTGGTTTTGTCATGTTAATTTTATTAACTATTGCCAACTTTCCATTAATAAATGAAGAAAGCCTCATTGTACCGACTCAAACTTTAAGTACAGTACTGTACTTCAGATTTTGCAGAACAGTGCAAGGTTTATGACGAGCAATATAGCTCCATTAATTTATATTTAAAATTTTTCAAGAAAGCATCTTCCTACTGATATGAAGCTTTTATTACTTATTATAAAAATTAAAGTTCTGTTTGTTAAACTTAAATATTTAACTCATTTACTGATCAAAACTGCTACAGCCAAGTGTTTTTGTAATTTGGGAGGAGGGAATGGAAAGACCAAATTTGACTACATGGTCCATTTCTCTTGTTAGAAATAAAATGAATAATAGATTAAATTTCCAAGACTGAATGACAAAATAGAATAAATTTTATAATGAATAATTTCTTTAGTCACTTGCAGATTAATTACATGTACTGTTTAATCACAGATCAATGAAATAAATAAATAGTACAATTCATAGGCGTATCAACTCGTATAAGAAAGCACTTAATACTCCAATACTAAAATGATAAAACACTAAACTTTTATATTTGAACACTAAATATATATTAAACATTTAAATTTAATTTAAGTGTAATATAGGTGTACACGTTACATTTAGGCTTATATAAAGTACTCTCACTTTATTTTGTCAATCTTTGTAAATACTGTAATAGTTATACCAAATTGATAAAGGGGTTTATTACATTATTTTGAAATGTTTAATATAAACCAAACTTTTTTTACTAGTTGTATATAAGAAGGGCTGCAACTGTTCTGTTTCAGTATCGCACCCTAAACAGAAAGGAAGGGATTTTTTTTTCAGTGAATTTTACACATTCAATAATACTCTGCAACCACAATTTTCAAATGAAATCATTTCTATGACACTCGTCTATCTTATTAGCACATATTAAAGGATGTTTATAAAAAAGATTATCCAAAATATTTTTAGTTTTACTAATGCAAGTAGTCCCAAAAAGTCCAAAGTCCCAAGTTCCCCAAAAATATATGCCAATATTTCATGTTTGCAAATATTTATAAAATCAATAAATGAACATAGGAATAAAGTGTTTTATAAAGTTTGTAGAGACGTCAACTCTACATATAAGATGTAAATTTCATTAAATTGAAAAAAATGAAAGAGGAGAGCTAATTTTGTTACTTGACAATAAATAAGATCAAACATTCTGCCACCTGTGGTTGATTTCAACCAATTTCCTCCAAAATTTGCACCCTTACTGAAAGGCTTATATTCTGTAAGATGTATAAGTTTCATGCAAATCAGCTGATAAAAAATGAGAAAAATTTGAGAAAAAAAAATCATTTTTTTTGTTTGAAAATTGTTTTGGGCATAAAACTCAATTGTTAAATACTTTATTATATGCTAATGTGATAGCTTAAAATACTTTATTATATGCTATTGTGATAGCTTAAAATACTTTATTATATGCTATTGTGATAGTCATAGGCATGATTTCAATTGACACGTGTTTCATGTTAATTTTTTACCATTTTGGAAAATTTTGACACAATTCAAATTTTTTTTCTCCCTTCCTATTTATGCTACGATGCTGAGACTTGGACCAGTTGAACCCAATTTTATATACAACTCGTCAAAAAAGTTTGAAATCGAACCAGTTTTCATTTATTGCATATTTTCGTAATCCGTCCCTTAACAGATATAAAGCAGGAAATACACAAACATTAACAAATTCATCATGTCTATAAGGAGAGTCGGCAACATTACAGCACAACTCTCCATGGACCAAATGACTTTACCTGGTGTCCTTTCAATGTACACAAAACAGTGTTTGCTTTTGTTACAGGCAGAACACCACATGGATTTACATGAATATGTATTTGCAGAAGCACATGTAAATAGGAAAATGAGCATGAATTTAATATTTGGAGTGGTATGAAATTTATTTGAAATCGGTTCTTTTTATCTCTTAACAGTAAAATCTTTCTTTTCCAGCAAGCGTATACGGATGTCACTCTGGCATGTGATGGCAAATTCTACAGTGTGCACAAGTTGGTGCTTTCAACGTGTAGTGATTACTTCTGTGCCATGTTTGACAAGACTGCTTGCAAGAGCCCTGTTATAGTGTTAAAAGATATAAAAAGTGAGGACCTAGAGGCCTTGCTAGATTATATGTACCTTGGTGAAGTGAATGTGCGACAAAGTGACTTAGCTTCTTTAATTAAGGCAGCAGAAAATTTGAGAATTAAAGGCCTTGCAGTACCTGACGATGAACCTCCTAAGAAAGGTGCCATGTCGGTGCCATCTCGGTCTGACCCTTCCAGACGAGATGGTGGCAATGGAAGCCCACCATCGAAAAGAAAACGCAGAGATGAAGGTGAAGATGGTAGGGAGGATGTTAGACCGCCCCCTCCACCACAGAGTGGTCTGCACACACCACCACCACCACCTCCAAGACCAAAGAGCCCTGGTAGCCAACGGTTAAGCCCTTCCCCTCTTAGAACATCTCAGGAGTCTCATGTTACTGACGATCGTGATAACCGTCCCCACTCTTCGCCGGCGGAGTCTCCTGTTGCTTCTCATATACCATCTCATCAGTCCTCACAACAATTGACACATCAATCATCGTCTCAACCATCTATTTCATCATCACAGCCCTTACCTGAACAACAGCAACAACAATCTAATCAATATAGAGGGGAAGAAACACCCACTTTTGTTAAAGTAGAAATGGAGGAAGATGATACAGGAGATGTCAACCGTGATTCATATAACATGAGTGGAGATGGTTACAAAGAGGAAGATAGTGGAGGTGACCTAGGAGGGGACTTAAGTAATGATCTACCCGAGTTCTTACAACAAGCTGCCTCTAGTGCCCTAGCAGGTACTTCTGCCTCATACCATCACGCCTTCGCTGGACCCTCTGGCTTTCAGCCGGTAAGTTTCTTGCTGTTAGTCAATTCACTTCAAATTTAACATATTAAATTAAAAAATCTTCAAAGTCAGTCTAATACTATGGATTATCCACTAGGAATTTCATACTTTATTATTAAGCTTTTTTTTTAAACTTTCAAGACCCACTTGTATGAATAAATATCCCTTTTACGGTTACCTTTTGGATGGATTGTTAGACTGACCATGTGTGAAACATCATAGGTCATTCAGCACAAATTATGTCGGTTTATATTGAATGAAATATATGAATACTAATAAATTTTAGATATGATATTGAATTGTCTAGCATTATTTTGTTATTACATGTTCATATCATATTATTGACAATAATTTTGGCATGTGGTGAGGATGTGATTTGCCAGAATTAATGTTGCAGATAGACATTGCCTCATGGGAGTAATTCCTTTTTTTTATTTGTCCATGGGGAAGCTTTGTGAGAGATTCTTTTGTTGTGAGGTTATAATAAGTAATATCTTTACTAATATATTACAGTGCATCTTCCCAAATTGGAACCTCCCTATAACAGATCCCTCTTAATAACTGACCAAATCCACCTACGGGATTTTCTCTCCGGGATTTGAATTTAAAATATTCGATTGCGTAGGGGTGTGGTGTGGTTAGTGAGGTAGCAATATCAGGGAGGTAGTGGTGGTTGGTGAGGTAGCAATATCAGGGAGGTAGTGGTGGTTGGTGAGGTAGCAATATCAGGGAGGTAGTGGTGGTTGGTGAGGTAGCAATATCAGGGAGGTAGTAGTGGTTGGTGAGGTAGCAATATCAGGGAGGTAGTGGTGGTTGGTGAGGTAGCAATATCAGGGAGGTAGTGGTGGTTGGAGAGGTAGCAATATCAGGGAGGTAGTGGTGGTTGGTGAGGTAGCAATCCACTATCCCATCTGGGCCAGATTTTTTAGTTTAAAGTTGGGTTGGTTAACAAAAACTTTGCTTTAATATATGTGCCAATGTAGTTATTTCTAATAAATTTAATTTTCAATTTTGTATCTATTGAGTAAATAGATAAAAAACTAACCCTAGACTAACCCGCCCTAACCCATGAGGCTTTAAGTAGAAACCTGGGCTTTCTACCAACCCTGATGAATGCTGCGTGGTGAAATCTGGAAACTCTTTCCAGATCACGAAAAGTAATTTTCATCAAATCATATTTTTTTAATTATTATTAAAAATTAAGCATTTATATTATAAATGTTTTCCTTAGCTATTACTGAACTATAGGTTTTACAAACAAGTTTGTGACATGTACCTATAGAAGTTTGACTATAGTAAGAGCATACACTGACCATGGTGTGTTATCCTGGTGTATTAGTGCAGTCTGACCTTGTTTGACAAGCAATTTCTCTGGCCTTTCTTCTGATATATCATCTCACGTGACAAAGTTGTATGAGTTGATTAGAGTGGCAAGACTAATTTTCTTTTTGTGGATGAGAAATCTTTTGTTAGAGAAATATGATTAGGGTTTAACACTTTGCCCGGCCGATAACTCGTAATGCATCTGTATATGAATATACTGTACGCAGTCTGGGCGAGGAAGCACGCCAAATTTAAAATTAAAATATTCATTAGACATCCATTTTTTTCCCCGATCATTATGGGACTAGTTTTAAACTGTGCACCTCTTGATTGCGAACAATTTGTTACCAGAATGAACGATGTAGCACAAAAATTGAGGTGACAAGACTGGAAAGAGTATAAATACTGAATTTAAGTGCGGGTGGTGGTTGCACACTCACGGGTAAAGCTCGACCTAACTTGGGGTGTGCTTCATGTGGTGCCGGGCCATATGACCTTGTGTATATAATATCCCTTTCGAACATTCTATTGCGAACAGTTTGATATCAAAATGAACAACGTAGCATGAAAATTGAGATACAAACACTGAAAAGAGCAATAACATTTGAATGCGGGTGAGGGGTTGAGAGCTCACGGGTAATACTTAGCTGATTTTGGTGTTTGGTGCTGGTGATTCGCCAGGCCATTTGACCTTGTATGCTTATATCCCTTTAGAGATGTGTGTTGTGAATTTGATACCAAAATGAATGGTGTAGCATGAAAATTGAGGTGACAAGACTTGAAAAGAGTATTCACATTTTAGTGCGGGTGCTCGGTCATGGCTAACCCATGACTTATTTTCGGGTTTGCTGCGGGTGGCAAACCGGGCTTTTTGACCTTGTATGCATATATCCCTTTAGGGAAATTATGGTCTTCTGACATGATTACTCTCAAATCTTTTATATTGCTTTTTAATTTCAATAGCATGGTTTGATTCCGTTTTATATGTGGTTTCTGTTTTAAATTTTTTTTTTCCATACTGCAAGAGCTGGAACTTATCCTCATTAATTATCTTATTTTGTGACCTATTGAAAAATCTGATTAATATCAGATTAGATGTTTGCAGTGTCCTCTATATTGTCTACTTGCAAAAAAATCCTAGTGTCATCTGCAAAGGAAGATTCAGTCTGTATCCTTGTCTATGTCCGATGTGAGGATGAGAAAAGTTTCAGAATAAGCATGGGTACAGTATCTTGCTGGGACTGAGCTTTTCATGGGGGGATGATCCAGATTTTACTTTGTGACTTACCGTCTAGATTCTGTTCGTCAGGAAGCTAAAGATCTGTTTCCCTACATTGCTAGTACTGTAATTCCTTTTGAACATTCTTTGTGCAATAACAATATTGTCACATTTGTGAAAAACTTTTGAACTTCCATGACATGTAAGGTCATGACAGTGATGTAGCAGTTGGGAAGGGCAGAAGCACCCTGTTCTGGACCCATGTTGTATAGGGTTATGCAGATATTGTGATTCCGTATGTTTTGTATGTTTGTGATCTTGGCACTCATTTCAATTATTTTCATTGTGTGTGATATTAGAGCTATTGATCAATAATTTTTTGCATCTGTTTTTCTACCTCCTTTGTTAAGTGGTGTGATCACTGGTGTTTTAAGAATGTTGGGGATAATGCCAGTATCAAGGCTCCATCTCTGAGCTGTTTAGGGCCTGTGATTTTGGTGTTTTGCACTTCTTGATGAATATAGAATCCCAGGAGTCTGGGCCTGGTGCAGAGTGCATGGGTATGCTGTCCATGGCTGTCCAAGTCCATAAGGGTTAGGGTGACATCGGATATATGGTTTGATGTTGGTACTGTATCACATTCATAAATACAGTAATTTGTTAGGCTTATTGATCTTTTAAGTGTTCAGGGGTTCACTGAAAAGAGAATTGTATTGTACCCTCAGTATTTTATTAATTTCTTTGTTGTCATCTGTGAAAGTTCCATCACCCTTGTGCAAGGGCTCAATGCTTGATGACGCTTTTGTTCGAGTTTGGAGGCGAGTTCCTGAACCCATTATGTGCCTCTGTAACCCTTTCTACCACTGTCCACAGGATAGATATGGGGTGCATAGGAGAAAAAGCATTTTGGATTCCCCTCGATATCACTTACGACTTTTTGTTCTCTTTGCTTCCTGGATTTTAATTTATTGGTTTTGCTCAATTGTTTTTTTTCTCTACATAGCCTTCCTTGTCGTTTTTGGATAGAATGGAGCAGATGAGGAGTCACAATTACATGGCTGAAAATTGTTGACCAAACCACACACTAGAAAGTGAATTGGTATCCACCTGGAGGTCAATTTGCAGTGTTTATAAAGCTGGTAACAACAAATACCTTGATCAAATAACCAGAATGGCGAAAGATTTTTTACTTAAGGGAAGGCCTCGGCTGTCTCAAGCGAGGTCACAAGAACAGTGAGCCTCCAGTGTGGTTGGGCGCCCACGTGGTGGGGTCAGGATGCCACGTGGGGTATACAGAGAATGGGCAGAGGTTGGCATGCATTTTAAACAAAATCCCATAGTATTCAGACAATAAATGGAATTTCTACAATTTTTCTTAATTGATGACACCATTTGCATCATCACTCGTACTCCATATTTTGGTTCCGTGACAAAATATGTTGTATTGGGTAGTGAAAGTGTTCAACCCCCCCCCCCCCAAAAAAAAAAAAAATTGCTGTGATATAATAGAGGGTGCACTGTATATTTTAATAAAGGTACTTTAATTATCTGAATTTCAAAATTTGTATGCATTCAGGAAATTTCACATGTAATATTTTGGTGATCTCTCCCATGTAGATTGTTGATATAGGTGTTTTCCCAACCCGTCCTCTTAAAAATAATGTCACTTTTGGCTCGTATGCGCACTATGGCCAAATTTGGATGTAATTTGAAATGAAATCGACTCACAAAAGTTATGTACTGTTCCGTTTTCTGTTTGAGTCATCTGGCCCTCCTCGTACAGGTTAGAAGAGGAAACTTTCAATTAACGTTTTTCATAACGTTTTGAAACTTCATGAGAATTTCCTGCCGACCTAACCTATCAGAGGACCCTTAACTTACTGTTGTTGAAAAAAAATCCCACTTATTTTCAATTTTTTTTCATTTTCAAATTACGTCCACTGTCGGCCATACGATCAAACGGCCAAAAGCGACGTTATTTTTAAGAGGACAGGGTGGTTTTCCAATGTTATGGCATGGTTAATACACCTTTATTAATATTTTGATCCAAAAAAGTCTTTATTTAAACACTCCAAGGCAGCAAACTTATGTTATTAGTACATACAGTACATTAATCTATCCTGTTTGTTAAACTACCTATACAGTATTTTCATGTACCGTACAGTACCACAGTAATACATCTATCTACAAAGGGTTAAGATTTTCAAACTATATTAAGTTGTGTTAGAATTAAGAGATGAAGTTAATATTTATTTATGAGTATTTGTATTTTGTCTTTCTAGGATGTGTCTGGTTGGCAAGGGGACAGTCAGTCCCTGCCAGGAAGCTTCAGCGGGCTAGGCTTTCAGCCTTCCACTCAGGACAATCCACCAGGGGTGAGTGTTACTACTCGTTTTAAAAAGGGTGAAGCATTACCAGTTATATTTTATTCAAAATGAAAGTTTTTCCTTTGCAAAATTGCTGTTCCTGAACTGTATAGTCATTGGCGAATGTGCTATTGGACAAGGTAAAAATGTATGTACAGGGTATACCGTAATTATTAAATGCATACAGACATGAGGAATGATCATGTTTTATTCAAGAGATACTTATGTGCATTTGCACCTACATATGAGTGTACACAAAAGTACACAATAACATTATTGATTCCTAATACTTGAGTGCAGGTATTATGTACCACTGCCATTTCTCGGATGGCATTAACCCGTAGGTACAGAGTACTATATATTTTACATGTATATACATATAATACTTGTATTTACATGTAATACTCAATACCCCAATATTAAATGTCCAAATATATGAGATCTGAATAAAATTGAAAGTGCCTTTCATAAATGGATTTGCTAAATTAAATGTTGTGTTTAGAACTTTTAACAAAAATCACATTATGGTCTACATGGGCAATGAAGCCTTAAGTACCTATAATAAAATCATTAGATGCCATAAAAGTCCTAGAATCTGTTTCATAGTTATTAGATGCTATAATTGAACTAAATTCATGTTCACTACATGATTTTATAAATTATATTAATTATATTATATTAATTTATATTTATAAACACAAGAAGTGTTTATAATTTGCATCAATGCAACTTTTACACCTTTGGCTGCAACCAAAAAAATTCAGTCCTTTTCCTATCAAGGGTCGACAAGTAATTATAAATAAATTATTAAATTACAGTACGAGTTATTTCTAATTAAATGCTCTTTTCAGCTGTGTAGTTAATTTTGTAAACAAGATATTGCCTTTTTTGTTCTCCATTTTTTTGTTCGATTATTTGATCTAGGTGACCTAAAACCAGTCTCTTATGTGTGTGTTACCATGACATAAACAGTATTGGGGTATTATCATTATAAATACAACTAATTATATCTTATTCAGGATTTTTGTGTGGGGGGGGATTTCCTGCAATATTTTTATTTGATTTTTAAATGGGAAAAAGATGTGTTCTTTCCCATGATACCATAAAGTCATTACAAATATTTTTTTATTAAATAATATAAAAATACAAATAGGTTTTTTAACTATATAAGTAATAGTTCAAGTAGCTCAGTATCAGGCTGTGTGTGTGTTCCAAATATATTGAATGTCATCATTAAATGCAACAAATATGTGTTTGAATGGCAAATACAACATTTAACTGCACCCCATATTTTGTCCATGTATTTTTTTTTTCCAAGTAAAAAAAAAGAATGCTCTTTATATTCACCATTATTATAAGACATAAAATGATGTATTATCTTGAACAAGAAGATATAATATTTACTTAAAGCTCTATTAAAGCTTATAAATTGACTGTTGATATGCTAAAAAACTGGGTTTATATACAAATACAGTATACAAATGTATATAATAGTATATATATTATATACATTAACTCCAAAAGTTAATAATTTTAATTACTGTGATACATGTTGCTGAAGAATGCATTTCTTCAGCAACATCTTCAACATCTACGGAAGCAGTGGATGCTAAGTGGTTGGGAATATTTTACACACACCAAGGCAGGATCAGATGACATGCCAGATTACATAGTTGATGTTGGTGTGAGCTGGATATTTTTATCTTGGTCTTGATGGTAAGGTGTTCCTAAGAGTAGATTGGCAGTTGGATGAGTGTTTGATTTGTAGAGCCTCGGCTATGTCTTATCTTCTATTGCTGTTTGTCATGTTATTTTAGTGTTGTTTGTCAGGATATTGCCAGTGATGGTCTGGTTATTCATAAAAATGTGATCTTTGATATAATCTTACCTATATATTGGAATTATTGAGGGTTGGTAGTCTCCAAGTGGTCATGTAAAGGCATTGATGGCATTTGTCTGTGTTTTGCTTGGTGTAAGGAGATTTCTGCATGAATATGTTGGCAATCTTCTTGTTTCTGTAGTAAATTGTGAACTGTATCTTCTGGATAGCATTGGTAGGGGTGATCACATTTGTCAGTGGTTCTTTCAGAGTTCTTTCCTTTTTTGTTAGCTAATACTTGTCATGGCACTTACTGCTACCATTAAAGTAAATTCCTATGTTAGTTTTTATTATAGACTGAACCATGAAAGGCACCATTCCTTTCTGAGATTTGTATCTGGGAAAGACAGCTTATCTTCACTCTCCATCTCGTAAAGTGAATCTAAGTTTAGAACTTAGCTTCGAGTCTTTTGTACGCTGTTGCAAACATTCCACTAAAAAAGTTATTGTCATCTTGTTTGACAAACACCAACATACATTTGCTACTAGCATGATCAAACTAGCCACAAGATTGTGACTATCACCACTTTTTAGAAGGTTCAGATATCTTATTGTTGCAACAAATGTGCTTCATTTGGCAGTCTCCAAGTGTATGTGGTATGTGTTGTCAGTGCATCATCGTGTCAGTCAGCACGCACGTACCTTCACAGAATCTCGCTTCCCTTGCTGTTAGAGCAGCTTATTTCATATGCTGAAGGATGATATTTCAAGTCTACTACTTGTAATATTTTCCTCTATCATAAAGATCTTCCATGTCTTTGATGACCTTGCAATTTTGTATGCCATTAATGGTCGGTGATGCACCAGGTTTGGCACACATGGTTTTTATTTAGCATGTTGGCACACATGTTTTTATACATGTTTTACTTGGAAGTGACAGAGGTTTGGGAATCTGTTCATGACTGTTTTTGGTAATTTAGTATTTAGGTATTATTATTTGACAATACCCATAATAGTTTAATAATTTTTTTATTTTTAACTTTTTGTGTCGCCAATATTTGGGCATAGGACAAACTCGTATCAGTATGGACGAGTCATGTGATGCAGTAATGATGGTCTTGGCTATTTTGTATTTTGTTAAATGTTATTTTTATAATGCAATTTATAAAACGTGGTGTATTCAGGTTTGTTTAAAAGTTTGGATGTTCAGTACAATAATTTACAATTAAGTTGCATATTAACTTAGCTGCATCCCAATGGTCGAACATTTGCTAATTATACTGAATAATGTGCACCAAACACAATTTGCTCTGAATTTGTTGGCATGCAGTTCATTAGAGTGAGAACCTACTGTACTGATGGGTCAACATTTGTGAATATTTAAGGCTCGGTGGGCAGTTAAACCTCTTCCTTCCCAGAGGGATGACTAATGTGGAATGACTGAATTAAACCTCATTTCACTAGAAGACAGATCAGGTAGCGAATTGACAGGGCACACAACGACATTATATGGAATGGGTTGTACATGAACAAGGGGATACAGCTATGGCTACCCATATTAGTCGTAGAGTCATTAGAGAGAATTATTGTGTCATAATAGTAAACAAATAGAATGCACTGTAGTGTAGGGGCGGAGGCAGACGTCCAATGTGGAAGTGACAAAGCCCAATAAGCTTAAACCTTTAAACCAGTTGACTGTAGACTTAGTCGGATCCAAGTTTCCAAAGCTTGACTCCAAAAAGTATAATTAGGTTATTAATTCTGCCCCAACTAGTCCTATCAGTCCAATTATGCCTCTACCTGTCTTTGCACCCACCCACTCCTGCCACCAAGTAGGTAACTGGGTATGTACTCCTGCCCTGTTTTGCGCCCTCCTGCTTAAATGTCACTACATTGTGTTTGCCTGATATCGTAAATGTGTTGCATCTTTGTTCTCTACAAGGCAGTATTCAATTCTTCTGAAGCTTATTCATGTTTTTTCAAACTTTCAAACTCAATAGAGTGGGAATGTAAGGGATTGCCCTAAACTGCTACAGGACATTAGTACCTATTTAAAATAGCTACTAATTTGCAGTTTTTGCAGATGACACAGCAATGCAGCTTTTACACATGTTTTGTAGTAACATGTGAGGTAACAACAATAGGTGGTAGATGATTGTGCCAAGTGGATAGCAGACTCGGGTAGAGGAAGAAGTCAGTGTCATGTAAGGCAGGCTGACATGCAGGTGGGGAGCTTTCTTCTAAGGTGGCTGCTGTAGCTCAGTGGTACTATAACTGCTCTGGACTAAGTAGCAACTAGTGACACAATTTTGTACGGCAGAAGAGCTTGATTTGTTCTACCTTGCTTGCAACTGACGATGTACTGTATGGCTGTTGATTCAGATGGTCGCTTAATTAATGTGATTGACTTTCTATGGGCACTCTTATCTTTATGCTATTGAATAGTACTGTATTGTGGGCCTTTTTTGTTATCTAACATCTGGCATAAGAATGCCTTGCCTCTCCTGTGGTCACAACATTCCGTTCTTAACAGTCAGTTTGCAGCCTTTCAGACTCTAATATCTCCTTGGATAGCTATGGGAATACTGTCTTTGATGCCTTGGTGGCACCATTGTGTGGTTGGAGGGTTCCTCGAGTTTGTTCACACAAGCAGAATTCTCTCATACCTAACTTTCGAAAATATACACACACATATATATAATTTCCTTAAGTACTTTTGTATATTAATACATCTTCAGAAGGAATGATTTACAAGTCAAGTAATAAACATATATATAGGCAGGAGAGAGAGGTGAAGTGAAGTGAGGTACAATGAAAAAATGAATGGGAAGTAGGTGGATACAAATAAAAGCTGCATAAGAACTGCAGGAGGCCCATTGGCCCATATGAGGCAGCTCCTATTTTTACCCACTATGGGCCTATAAAATAAGAGTTGCATCAATAGGCCCATACATGGATAATAATAGCATAAGATAGTAAATATTTACAATGAATTAGTGAGACAAATGTGTGTCAATGATCCTACTCAAATCACCCTTTAATTGATCTATCAAAAATGTATCTAAGTTATATAAACCACTGCTAATGTTCAAATTACATTCTTTAGTAATCTGTATTAAAGCAGATTCAATTATGTTCCTATTGAAAGTGCTTTTACAGTTCGTTATTGAAGAAGCCATCTCCCTATCAG